AGTTAAAGCTGTCCCTGCTCACTGCAGCGGGGTTGGGCTAGGTGAACTCTACAGGTCCCTTCCAACCCAAAGCATTCTATAATTCTGTCATAACCTTTCAAGACTACACTCTGGCACTGCAGATTGCCTGAACAATTGTGAATTGAAATATTACATACTTATACTCTTTTCATCTGCACAGAAGTAATTGTTAAAACACAAAATTAAAAACTATTATACTTACCTTGTTTTTTATGCCAAATTCATAGATAACTTCTTTCTCTTCATCTCTCAGTATTGGAATCTTCGAGATATTGCCAACATACACGTGACCTTTAATAACTGGTAACAAGTCAAAACAGGATTCAGCAATTTTCTTCAATGCTAAAGAAACCTTCTGGCAGTCAGGATCAATAACCTTCTTTACTGGTAGTGATGCTTCTAAACTGGAACTGTGTGCTGAATCACTGATTTCACAGCTTTTGTCATGGAAAGTCTCCTGCATTTCAGAGATTGTATTTTTACTATTTCTGGTAGCAGCAGTATCATTTGGCTCCTGCTTTGGTGGTTCACTGTCCAACCTCAGTCTTTTTGCACTTCTTGGCATAGATATTGGCAACAGTGTTCGTTTTTCAGGATGATCTGATAAGCTTGAAAACAACTGCTGATTTTGCACATCTTTGTCTTGATCTTTGCTACTATCAGATTTGAAATTGCTCCCAGTTTTAACAAAAGCAGTTGATGCAGATGCAATTGCTTTGAACCCACCTATTTGAGCCACAGGTCCTGGCAAACTTTGGCTTTCTGAAAAAGCACATCGGTTAAGATGAATGTTGCCTTTCAGAATGTTTAGTGTCCTGGCCCTTGCAGACAGCTCTGGATACATAGTGTCCAAGATTTTCACAGAGTTCTCCTGAGTGGTACCTGGAGCCGCACTATCCGCTGCAAACAGAGGAAATCTTCCTGGGACAGGAAGTGCATGCTTTGGAATGGAAGTACAAAATTTCAAAGGTGAGGAGCGAATCCTTCTACCTACTGCTATTTCTGAGGGTGAGGGAGGAGAAAATAAAAGAGCAGATTTTGCTGTTGGAGTATCTGTTAATGGAGACATGAGGGGGGGAACAGGAGTTTCACGTAGTGGGGATATTAGGTCATCGAGAGGGGAAAACAAAGATGATCGACCAGTAGAAGACATTACTGGGGATATGGCACATGCAGCTTTTGGAGGAGTAGCAATCAAAGGCAGCAGCAAGGGGGGCAGAGGAAGACCCATCTCTTGCCTGATTTTATTTATAGTCTCGGATGAACATTTTGTTGGCATAGAAGTATCAGCATTTGCAAGAACTGGCTGAGTTAGTTTAACTTTGAGAGTCTTTGTTTTTCTTTTACCTTGAAACAACCTCTTTGATAGCTTGGCATGCATTACTTGGGCATCTGTCTTGGTTGAAACAGGCAAGATTTCAGATGGTTCCTGCTCGTTGCACTTCAATTTGTTGCTCTCTTTGAGAGCAACATCGACACAAGACTCAGACTCCAACACACATAGCTTCTCAAATACTGTTTTCTGTGGCTCAGAAGGCTGCCTAACTGTCTGACAATTGCAGTCTACATCACATAGGGCTGGATTTGAAAGATACTCAACAAAATTTTTTTTTCTACCGCTAGCATCAAGGATAACATCAGTGCTGTTTTCTCCTATGTTGCAAGCAGTGCAAGTTTGATTGTATTTTTCAAACACTGAGACCCCCATATCAATACCATGTAGTAGACTTTGGTCCACATTTGACTGAAGATTTTCAGAATCATTTTCTTCTAAGAACTTGCCAAGTGCTAATATTCTTGTATTTACTTTACTGTTTTTTACAGCCAGTCTGCAAGTTTCTGAGAATCTGGTTAACATCTGGCATAGTGGTAACCTATTTTTTGAAGCATTTGGCATCACAGGGCTTTCTTTTGATGTCCCAGCTTTTAACACACTTTCCTCACTGTCATTGATGCATCCAGCTCTGTTAGAATCTACCATGCATTCATTAGCACCCTCCGTATTTTCAGAGGTTACTAATATACACTCTCTTTTCCAAGAGGCTAAGTCTTTAGGATAACCCTCCCCAGCCACATTTGACAATTCATTTGCGGTATCGGGAGAGGTGTTTGTTTCACAGTGTGTATCCGTATCCACCGTAGAGTCTGCTTTTAGATGACTAACTGTCAAAGTATTTCCAGGGTGCATTGTTGAATGATGTTCACATACTTGGTAATCAGCATCAACAATTGCACCAGTTTCCAGAGCACCCACTGCAATTCCGCTAGAAGCGCTCAGTTCCTTTCCGAACATGGGAACACACTCAGAACATTTCACATATCTAACTTTTTCTATAGAACAGTCTTTCTCTTCAGATTCAATGCTCTGCTCTGGCATATCAAAATAATTTTTACACCTTTTTATGGCATTTTTCCCAGATGCCTCAAAACTATTTAATTCTTTGCTTTCTCCCCCAGCTGTTAGTGAACTGGTCCTAGAAGGATCTGTTCTAGCCTCCCACGTAGAAGTCCTGCATCCTGATTCTTGACAATCAAACTTTTGGAGAAGAAAAGTATTCTTATTATAATAGTTTGCATCCAGGATCTGTGATTTAACAGATACCTGAGGTTCTTTATCTGTTGGCTGCTCCTTCTCATCTGGAATTTTCACTTCATTTTTGTGTATGTATTCCCCCTCAGGGCAGTCCAGTTCTTTGCACATGCTGTCTTTTTCAGCAGACAGGATCTCAGCACCCTCTTCCAAGCTTTCTGAAGAATAGTTAAATGCATTACCCGTAATCCAATTTTTATCTCCTTTGTTATTCCATGTACAGGAAAAAGTAGCCTTTTCAGTGCAACTAGTTTCAACAAAACTGACAACTTGCTGAAGACTGAAATTTAGATCAGGAGGCATCGTGGATTCCAAGCCAATTCCCACTTGCACAGAAGAATGTATTTCTTCAGTTTTTATACAGCCCACCTCCAAGTCCCCTTGAGTAGAAAAAGCCAAGCCACTATTAAAATCCGTTTCTGAAGTAGGCTGGCAGGTGATCTCTGAAATATTATTTTTCTTCACAACATTCTCTTCCCAGTTAAACGAACCGGAACAAGTCTCAGTCACCAATTCCTTCCTTTCTTTATTTAATTCCCCTTTTATTTCATCACATTTAACATTTTCAGTTACCAAGAACTGAGTCAGAGGTTTTGCAAACTGTTCCTGAGAAGTAAGATTACTTTCTACTAAGACAGATTCAGTGGCGTCCACTCTTTCTAACAACTCACCGCTTTCCTCTCCAAAGTCTTCTGGATTAACTTTGAATTCAGTCTCTTGAGGTTCAAACACTCTAAAGTTTTGAGTTTTGGACAACCCATGTTCTAATGTACTACACAGGTTTTCAGGTTGTTTTATTTCACCTTTTATTTCTGTAAAATCTAACATGAAGGATTCACACTTAGCTACACTGCTTTCTGCATCACTAATGCATGCTGTCTTTGGTAGTGCAAGCATACTTTCCAAGTCTGACTTCCCTTGCAATAAATTACTACTATTTTCTTCCTGGTGTGGTTTGCCTTTTAAATATTCCCCCTCCTTTATATCTACTAATTTTCCATTTTCTTCACTATGGAGTAGCTCTGATGATTCAGCTATTTCTAGAACACTTTCTCTGTTACATTTCATGGCTAGTTCAGTAATCTCAGGACTGGTTATATACCTGTCTTCAATTTTGAGCTGTTCATCATCTTTCGGAGAGGCTGACAAAGCAGTCCGCTCCATACCTACATTTTTGTCTACATCATCTGTAGGCAATGACTTTCTGATTCCTTCAACAGCAGATACAGTTAAGTAATGCCTAGAGACTTTCTCTGGTTCCCATTCTCTGTCCACTTCATCTTTTATTGTTTGCACACATTGTTTCTCCAGTATCTTTTCACTGTCACGTTTTATGTCAGAGCACTGAGAGTGTCCAGAGATCTCAATAGCTCCAGTGTCTGCTTCAGTCTCCATAATTATTCCATCCCCATCACGCTGTATCATTAGGTCTTTAGGACACTCCACTTCACAGAAGGACTTTGAACTACTGAAATCAGACAATAAATTTTCAGAGAGCTCGCTCTCATTATTTGCCTCTACATAAAGTCCTTTCATCTGTATTGCAGCTGTTGTTTCCTCTCCAATTATCACTCGTTTTATGTTTTCCCCTACATCACTTGCCATACTAGTTACTTTGATTACATTTTTTGATTCATTTTCAACCACTTCATTCTGTATCAACATATCAGATTTCTCCTCAGAATCTTCACTTCGAAGCACAATGCATTGCCCAGGTGGCAAATGAGTAACATTTTGGGGAACAGACACAGTCCTGGGAGTTTCTCTCTCCCCTGATAATCCACCTCTTTCTGCTTTCATTAATTCACTATGCTTTTCATGTGTACCTTCATAATCAACAGCTCCAGTTAAGATTACATTCTCCTCTGTTTGCTTTACCTCACTACATTTTTCCGTCTGAGGCTTGAAACTGTGTAACATAAAATCAGCTGAAGAACCTCCCTCTTCACTGTGCATGTCCTCACTATCTCCTTTGTGTTCTTCGACTGCTTCCAATTCATGTGCTGTTGCTTCAGTTAGTTCTCTCTTCTCAGTTTCCATATTCTCAGAATTCTCCTCCAAACAAACTTTGTTAGTTTCCATGTTTGCAATTAAAGTAGCAGCTTCAGCTTGCTTTGTTTCAGCATCTCTCTCCTCCTCGCTTGACATCTTTGGACCGATATGAACATTCTTTTCATTCCAACTCAGGTTTTGTGAGGTTTCTGCATCAAGACCATGCTCACATGATTTGCTCTGTCTGTTACACTCCTCATTGAGGTTGAATACATTACAACTCCGAGGCTGAACTTGGTCTTCTTGTAATATATCCTCCACCACAGAAACACTGCAATCAACTTCTTCGTCACTGGAACCTGTGACTTCTCCAAATAATATATCCTTTAATGAAAAATACAAAGTTAATATTCCAAATCCTGGTATCAGTTTTAAGATCTATTTCTCTAAAAAAATACACTGGTGGCCCTGACACGCAGTGGTTTTGAGAGATTAAGGCTGATCAACAGAATTACATCCTTCTCCATCACTATTCTTCATAGCAAATGGGAAGTACCTCTGTGAACAGTCAGACTTCTTTACCTACCTACTTGCATTCTAACATTACCGGAAAACAACATTTGAGTAGGTTCCCCTTGACTTTCAAGCTATGGAATTTTGCTATGAAAGCCACACTTATACCAAACAGAAGTTGGGACTGTAAGTCTGCAACATTGGGAAAAGAAATTATGACAGCAGTTGAGACATGGGTGACTTTGGTTTAAATATACTTCTGAAAATTATGGTTTTCCCCCTTCCACAGGCAGTATGCTAGAAGGTAAAAAAGTATCCATATGGTTCTAAACATTCACACAGAGATCATTTCAGTGCATGAGTGACTGATACTGATACTCAAAAAAAAAAAAAAAATCCCAGGAATACCAAATAATTATTTTTGCAGTAATTATACAACGAAGTTAGTGCGAAGTCAGACACATCCTGAAACTCACCTGTGTAGTTAGTGGTGAAAGCTGTACTGGAGAAAGTAGAGCAGGGAGAGGCCTGGCCCAATTCAATATATCCATCACATTTCCACCCAGGCCCTTTTGCTCCTGATCAGAGAAGTCTGAACTGCTGTGTGCCCCATCTGTCTGCATTATCACATCTACAGTTTTATCTTCACCACTGTGCAGACATTCTTCAGTATTCCTGTTCTCAAGACAGTCACCTCCAAAAGCCTCAGTACTCACTTGAAGTTGCATGGCTGTTACAGAATTTTGCTTTCCAGCACTTTCTAGTGAAGAATACCAAGGTAGTGTTTTGCCATCACACTTCCTGATCTTCTGGTGGATTTGTGCAGTTTCTAAGAAACAAAAATACTGTTAAGAATTCTCTTCCCCTCCCATTTTTCTTTGCAGAGGTAACACACCATAGTAAAAAGAATGCATTACCATCTTTTCAAGTGATATTACCATAGACTAGTAACAAGAAGCACTTAATGTCACTTTCAGAAATGTCATTAAGACTATTATTCCCATTTTTTTCTTATCAGGAAGGGCCATACTGGGTATGACTGAAGGTCCACATAGCTCAATGATTTATTTCAATTTTAGCCTAGTATCTGATGTTCAGGAAAAGTGGGACAAGCACACAGTGACATTCCTCACTCAGGCTGTAATTCTCAGCTTAAAGCAACTTGCAGGTTTGAGCCAGCAGCTCCACTTACAGTTACAGTTACAATTATACCCTGCCATAAACACAGTAAGGGAGTTCTTAGCTATATTCCTAGTTTTATGATTTAATATGCATATGCTTTTAAAGTGTTTGTTCTTTAAATTTAAATATTGAGTCTAATCATACAAGATTTTGTCTTTAATGAGGTGACTTAGTTAAAGCTGAACCCTTAAAAAACCCCACTTTCTTAGAAGTGAGGTTCCTCCCCACAACATACCTATGCACAAATGAGTTTGAACCACTAAGGCAACAAAAGACACTGAGCAGCTGACAACCCTTTCAAGATAATGTCAACTATACCAGTTTTGCACATTATTCTAGCAGCAAGAAAGCATGTCCAAATGGTCTGATTCTTTGCATTGTACTTTTGTTCCTTTTCAAATCACGCTTTTTATTATTACACAGTAACCCATTTCTTATGTGTGCAGACAAAACACATTGCCCCAGGAAAGTCTAAAGAGTAGAGACAAAGAATTTAAATATTGATTGTTACTGTGCTAGATACCTTTAACAGTGAAAAGATGGCCCAGTTTTCTGAAATTTAAATTCCATGATTTCATAAAAAGAAAAGACGGCCTCCAATAAAACAGCAGAAATCAACAATGCCAAAACCCAGTGTGCCACATGGAACTAGAACCTACTCTGTAGTATTTGCAGTTCTTATACAACATTTGTATGTGTGATCTCAATTATAGTGCTTACAAACACTACTGGACACAGAATCAGCAGTATTCAAGCAAGAGATCAAGCCTATTCTGTGTACATCCAAGTACCATCCCCCAGTACAAAGAACAGCACATGCACAACATGGTTTTGAACAGAGGATATATTGATTTAATTGGCACAACTTGCATTCTGTTGGAAAAATAAAAAAGAATAGTGTGCTTCATTATTGCTGTCGGTGTTTACCCAGTACTAGAACTTGCAGAGATACTCCTGAAGCAGCATCAATGGTAGTACCAGATTCGAAAATACTAATTTAATCCGATAGGTGAAAATGACCTCCCAGAGACCTGCCTCCCAATAACCTTTAAGCACATTCTGACATGTTGGCTCCACCAAAGGAGTCAGTAGGAAAACTGACCAAAACCCCTATTCCCAAGATCCACCTCAGTCACTTCACGTAGCAGCTCCACGTCAAAATCTCAATTGCTGCAACAGACAGTAGGAGGAGGGAGAAACTGTTCAGCCTAAAGGGCCTTACCACCTCATTTTCCCCCAAGATAAGTAAGCTCTGATATCTCCTTTGGTCAAAGCAGTATCTTACAAGTTTTAAGATCACACAAGCTATTTACAAGCTACAGTCACATAGAACTTCTGGGATGTTCTACATCTTGTCATGAAAAACCTAGATTCTTTTTACAATTTGAGTCCCATTAGACCATCCAAGGGAACAGGAGATCCATCACAAGCAGGAACAAAGAAAAGAAGGAAAATTCAGAAGATGGTTCTCTCTAAGATATAATCTTAGATTATATCTTAGATTTCTTTCATGCTCCTGTGTGCCAACCAGTTCTAAGCTCAGAACTTTCTCCACACTGAAGCAGGCAGAAACACACAGTTCTATATTTTGCCCCTAGAAGAACTTCAATGAGACAACTGGGAAGTTTACTTTGCACAGTGAACTAAACAATAGTACTAAGTTATCAGGAACTTCACATCCTGTCTATACTTTCAAGATCAGTCATGTGCCTATACGGAGTCAAGAATATTGATACACACCATCCACTGAAAAGATCCCCCTGCGAAATGGATCAAAGATATAATTTCTGAATGACTAAGAGATTCTCCATCCTTCTCTCCTCATCCCTTTCCAACCCAGTCCCTGACAAAACTTCTTTATGAATGAGATGCTTTTCTCATGGTTACCCCTTTATCTGTAGGAAGAGTTGTCATAGCAATTTTCAAAGGTTCAGGATATAGTAAACTTCTCTATAGGAAACAGTCAACCCTTTGGCACCTTGGCCTGAACTTCAGGTCCAGGAAAAGCCTTACTGATATAGAGCCCTTATCAGAAGGATCCTCTCAAAGATCATATCTCACAGACAAATTTTACTTTATCCAGGGAATCACACTCTTTTTCATTATGTCACTTACCAGAATTATTTTGTCCTCAAATCTACAACCTGGAATCTAGTCCATATAGCTTCAAACCCTTACATTGCTGCCTTCTCCCACTTCTGAGAGAAGGTGAAGATTACTCTGATCTGAAAATACCATCACACACTACTGTGAAATACTTGCTTGATGAAGAATGGAGAAAGGAGAGCAAACAGTCCAATGCTAACATCGGTTGCCTTGCTACTAAATGAATTGAATTTTACAACTCAAATCTTTGCTCGTGATTGTCCACATTGCAGGGCAATTCACTGCTGCAAAACAATGTCCTCTTCTCTCCCCACCCTAAACAACAAAGCAACTTTCTGAAAAAAGTCTTGTTTTTTTCCTCTCAAAAAGAAGGACCAGATTAAGATGCTGGATATTTTACCAAAATAATTCATCTAGCCATAGAATCTCTTCTGGTTTACAGCAAAAACTCATCACTATCAGCACAGTGACTACAAAAGCCTGGCAGTGGCAATTACACACTTCTCAAGGACAAACAGCAATATTTCTCTGAGGAAAAATCCCTCCACAGAAAGTTTCTTATGCCCTGCTGACCACCCTCGATTTTTCAACCTGTTCCAATTATGTGAATTTCAGGATGTTTTATACACTAGCTATTCCTTATAGCTACACACAGTGTTCTGTTTTTCGAGACAGCAAATCTACACGTCCCATCATATGAAACAAGTAATTAGGGTGAACCTTGCATACCTGAAACTAAATATGCAATGCTACACTATCTAAGAAGATGTTATCTTGAGAGATTTTCATATGGTCTTAAACACAGAAAAGAGGTCTGCTTCTTAAATCACTCACATCCTATGGACTTTAATCTCAGGACCACAAAATATACACAGGTCCTTAAGGATTCAGTCTTATCTTTGTATTTCACGGGTAATGCCACTGCCTTGTATCTCCTTTCACCTGGTATTAAAGCAGACACCAAGGTACCTCCAGTGTGCTCCTTTCCACCCCTGTTCTTAACATCTATATGCAGTTTCTCCCCTACCCTGGATCCCCAAACAAAAAGGACGATCAGGTAAGATGGGTATAGGTCTGCAGTAGGACAGATTTAGCTCAGAACCCCGTTATACATACTACTTGAAGAGGCTCAGGTCCTCCCAGATGTGGTCTTCCCTCATCTCCTCTCACCATAAGCCTGCACACAAACAGTGCATGTTGGAGAATCCCAATTACCAAAATCTGCAGCATTGGCCTGCAAGATTCTTCAAATGCTTCTTCACATGCCCATTCACAATGTAGGTGACTTTATGCTCAAATTACATAGGAAACAGTTTTCCAGAGTCTAAAAAAACAGCAATGTCTTATTAACCTTAGATTATGGTCTAAGGTTATTGGTCTGATGGTCAACTTCAGGTACAGTCAACTTTATTACTGGCAGATTTGTAACAATACTACCAAGACCAAGCAAAAATGTGTTTAAATTAAGTTGGGCAAAACCTCATTGTCCTATGAGGCTTTCACAATGGCACATTTCTTGGAAAAAGCATGAATGGAAAGCCTGAAGAGTCTTCCAGTTTTCAGACATGAACATGTTCTTCAAGAAAGCCATTCAAAGTAGTATCAATCTTGGTGGAACAGAGAAGGCACTGACAATAATGCAAAGCTTTGGTATTTTACAGCACACTTGAGGGTACTAAGAAATCAGCCAACGAGGTATCTTTCTGAAAGGCTAGATCCAGGCAGACAGATGAACTGACATTCTCTGGAAAAGATGCTTCAGCAATACTACCATCAAGGTGATTTGCTCTCTAAGATGAAACCATTGTAGTACGGGACAAGGAATTAGGGCAAACTCATTAAGATCCTATTTTTTTTTTGCTAGAAGATTGCATCTGTAAACATAACCATTTTGCTGTTATGAATCCAAGGTAATGGACACTTTCATGAGAGGCAGAACAACAAGATGGCTGTCCTAGGCTTAAAGACAGAAAAAATCAAACCCAAAGCAACAGGAAGTAAGATGCATTTCTACAGTATCTAGCCACTCCAACAAAAGCAAAAAAGGGACCGACTAGAAGGGACAATTATGGACAATTGCTTCCTTTTGTGAAAGTACTGTAGTTTCCTTAAGAAGATGGGACAGGACTCCTGGAATCTAAAGTTCCCCGTGTGGTGGATGGGAAGGGGATGACACTAGAATCCGATACCCCTGAAATCACCCATATTTCAAACTCTTCAGTTTCTTGTGATTGTTCTTGTCATTTGATTGACCTTTGATCAAGAAATCAAATTCAGAATCTCAGAGGACAACTGTCTAGCTCAGTTTTGGAGCTGAAGCCACAGATCTGCTGCACTAAATTGATGGGAGTGAGGTTGATAAACTGGCTTATGAGCCGGTCCTTATATTTTGGCACCTCTTAAGTGGATTCCACTGGAACACAATCTGAAACTAGATTAATTCAGCAAATTTTCAGACTTAACAGGGTGGAGAGACAAGATAACAGTTCACCTTCAAAGCTCTTAATAAGGCAGGGTACCTATCCCAGACAGTATCTCTACAGCCTGAGTTACAGAAAAATCATAGTAGTAGAGAAAATAAAAGAAAAATGAAAGATTAATAAGCACACTCGGGAGCAACAACTACAGAAATACTAATGCAGTTTCAAGGCACCTACTACTCTTGAGGGCAGAAGGAAAATGACATCTGTTATATGAAATTAAAGCAGTTCAAGTTTGCCGTGAATGTGCATGTGGATAACTACTCAGATTTTTTTTTATTATTATACTGAATATCACATTACAAAATTAAAGCTATCGCCAAATTATACATTTTGTTTCTCTGTATCAGGAATATGAAAATTAATGCACTGTTATCCATTATTATTCCGGCAGGTATGAATGAAGAAAGTGGTGGTACCAGCTTCTTAAATTTTACAATCCATCTATGTTACCATGTGTTTGTTTCAGACTAAAAAGATCGCTTGCATCCCGTAATTCACATTATACACTGCAGAGTTTATAACGATTTATTAATTAAGGTATAAACATGAGAGCTGAGTTTTGACTACTTAGAAATAGTCAAAGCAGCTGATAGTAAAAGAATTTGAGTTCTCAATTGCAACAGCAGATTACAACAGCTTCTATTTATAAGAGCATTCCAGTTTACTTGGCTGTTCAAATTAATATTTGCAATTATTTTCAAATATCCTAATCACACACATACTTGACCAGGGAATCACCAAGGAAAGCATTTAAGTCTGTCAAAAAATTGCTATGCAAACAGTATCCAACCTGATGATAGCCCAGTAAGACTAAATTAATGCACTCGCATATTAATAAATTCACATTTCTGGAACCTACCTTCTGTAACAGTCAGTCTTCTTTTTTCAGGCCATGCCTTATCCTGAACAGAAGCTGAAAAAATGTACCGATATTTATTTTTGGTCAGAAAAAGAGAAAGCTTTAAGAAAATTTCAAGACTTTGCATGCCATCTCACCCGATACAGGATCATTCTCCTGATTCTCTCTTCTTCCTGTTGCACTGTCAATGCACGTCCAGAGTTCTTCTAACAAAAGCTTTATTTTTTCTGTTGAAATAAATATTTTTATAAATTGAGGAGAACCTCAATTGCTCAGAGGCTAAGAATTTATGTTTCTTTATTTTTACTCAAAACACAGACATGCCTAGAACAAAATACAAAATACCCACGACAAAAATTAAGGACATAGGGGCATTTTAGCTTCAGAGAAAGAGAAATGCTAGATACCACTGAGGGAATGGATCCCGTATTGGCCACAGCCACACAGCGGACTGAAGGACTGCAGAATGCTTTAGCTTTTCCTTTCTCTAGTGAGGGTGGCAAAAAGTTGTAGCAGCCCCCAGAGTAAAATGTAAAAGCAGATTTGAATGTCGCATTAGTGAAATTAAACAGCTTTCTAAAACAACTCAGGTGACATGAACATAAATGGGGCAGGAAATCCTTTAGGAAGAAAGTATTTACAACACATTCTTTCTTTATGCCCACTCAGTAGTTACTCATCTTACTCTTACCATGCAGTAACAGCACATTAAATGTATCTGAATTAATTATCAGGCCACAACGTTAGTTGACATTGTCTGGAGTCCTAACAGCACCATTGCTAGGTGATGCCAAACAACCTAGTTCCAGAACCAGAAGGGCGGGTGGGGAGGGAGAAACAGACCAAAAAATCAACAAAATACACAAGCACCTCACCTACTTATGCCAAAACTGTCATCAGATCCAACAATCAGGAACTGAGACTATTGGTTTTGCACCAATTCCGTAAGTCAAAGACCACAGCAAACTGCTACTATTTTAAGAAGAGATATACTAAAAAACCACAGCATATAGGAGGAAAACGTGCCAAATTTTGCATGACAGCTATTAACAACACTAATAATTTCTCATTAGTAATAAAGCCTTGCTGCTATTTGAAGTTCATATTGGAGCTCAGATCTTAATTTTCCCATTTTGCCATTAATTAAAAATTAAAGCATGAAATTGGGTACCAATTTAGTACAATCCAAAAGGCAGTAAACATATGCTGAGACACAAAAGAACTGACAAGGTCTACCTTTTTCAGAAGGTTTAATTTTGGCAAAAACTTTATACACAAATATTGCAAAGCAAGAAATAGAACAGGCAAGTTCTTCTTTTGCCTGAAAATTACCTTCAGGATTTCTAAACAATTCAAAAGCAATACCAGTATTTCAAAAGACTGCAAAAATGCAAAAAAACCGCTTTGCCTAAAGTTTGGCCTCAGTACTTTAGAGGAAGTTTAGGAGTTTGCTCCATTACACAGTTAGATTCAGATAATTTGTAGCAGATATTTTAGATCATTAGGGGAAAAAAGTCAATAGGATAAGAAACAACTATGCATCCTGGATTTCCACTTGATTTACAGAGCCTCACACAGAAATTGTAGCAGATTACACTTCTATTTTGTGTCTTTTGCTTTGCACACTTCCTTTATGATTTCAGTAAGCTTCAAAGACAATGGGATTGTTTGTATTTTTCTCAGTGTTTTATAATTGCACGTGAACTGACTTGACACATGGATGGGGTAGACTAGTCATTTTAATGAATCAAGTATTTTCCTTACTGCAAAACTGCAGAGAGTCATCTACTACATTAGTTCATCAGTGTAACATATTTGTATCAACCACATCTGCTCTTACACCATTTCTGTCAGTATCCTCTGTTTCCAAAAATGCAACTCCAGAAGAGCTGCAATAAATTCATCATGGTCGGTTTTGTACAGAGAAGAGTCTTGCAAAAAGTCTTACCTTTGTCTATATCTGTGGTAAGATCTTCACTTGAACTCTGGGTCTCTGCATGCTTAACTACTAAAAAGAGGAGAGGGGGGAAAGGATATGTTCAAATGGAACAATACCACATATAAATCTGAAGGCAAAGGTGAACACTTACCTTTTCTGCACTTCTCTTTAAGTACCCCATCAAGTTTTCCCTGTTAAAATTAAGTAATATTAATTTTTCATGCCATACATTGTTTGTAGAGCATCTACTCTTAATTAGCATGAAATCTAAATCAACATTTCAAAGGTCATGCTTCAGTTGGAAAATTTCTATCTCTTAAGGTGAATTGCTATGTTTAGTTACTCAATACACCCAACAAATGTAATTTTACTATTTCAGTATCTCTATTAATAGTAGCTTCCTTTTTTCCCCCCCAGAAATACTAAAAGAAGCTTCATCCAAAAGACCAGGAAAGTCTTACTTGTGCCTTCTTTAGCTCCTTCTCAAGCCTTTTCTTTTCAGTTTTCAGTTGTCTGAAGTCCTGTGTATGCTTTGTTGCAGCCTCTTCAAGAGAACCAAAATTCAAGTTAGAAACTACAATATAAGAGACAACTAATTTAAGTAGTATTGGGCACCAGTTTGCAAATCAAATTACCAGAAAGACAGTGTGAAATACAAGTCTACTGAAGTTATAGGCTCACTAAGACAACGACTCATACATATGTCATCTTCCACTGCATAATTACTGTTCTAAACTACTGAAATACATTTATTGCTTTTCTCACTTACATGCAAGAACGAAGAGTGGGTCATATGGTTGACAGCCGGCTGATCATGAGCCAGCAGCGTGCCCAGGTGGCCAAGAAGGCCAACAGCATCCTGGCTTGTATCAGGAATAGTGTGGCCAGCAGGAGCAGAGAAGTGATTGTCCCCCTGTACTCAGTACTGGTGAGGCCACACCTGGAATACTGCGTCCAGTTTTGGGCCCCTCAGTACAAGAAAGACATTGACGTGCTGGAGCGTGTTCAGAGAAGGGCAACAAGGCTGGTGAAGGGTCTGGAGCACAGGCCTTATGAGGAGCGGCTGAGGGAACTGGGGTTGTTTAGTCTGGAGAAGAGGAGGCTGAGGGGAGACCTTATCACTCTCTACAACTACCTGAAAGGAGGTTGTATTGAGGTGGGTGTTGGTCTCTTCTCCCAAGTAACCAGTGATAGGACAACAGGAAATGGCCTCAAGTTGTGTCAGGGGAGGTTTAGATTGGATATTAGGAAAAGTTTCTTTACTGAAAGAGTGGTGAAGCATTGGAACAGGCTGCCCAGAGAGGTGGTGGAGTCACCATCCCTGGAAGCGTTCAAAAAACGGGTAGACGTAGCACTTTGGGACATGATTTAGTCTAGTCTACCCTTAATTGGTTTAGTGTGGACTTGGTAGTGTTAGGTTAATGGTTGGACTGGATGATCTTGAAGGTCTTTTCCAACGTAAAAAATTCTATGATTCTATATTGTAATGATACTGTACTACAGAACAATATATACCAAGTGAAAAAAAGGAATAAAATTAAGAATGGGTGCAATGTTTTTTTCATGTGTTTTATTCTCTTATTCAAAAGAAGGCTCTGATTCAAAGACGAAAACACTATAGCCAACTGCATTAGAAAGATGTAGATAGCACTCAAGACTAATAAACAGAGAAAAGTACATTCTCTCTCGATGTCTAACAGACACCTGGGAAGAGTGCAGATGGGTGGGAATAAAAAGCACAGGGCAGGTCAGGATTGAATGTGAGGTTCCTAGGGAAATTCTCAAGCAAGGGAAATACTTGAGAGAACTCCTGAGAGATCAGCTTTGTGACTTATACACAGACAGCAGAGAAAAGACAGATGAAACTTGCCTGCTGATCAGATCAGGTCACAAAAGAGAGCATATCAAAAGAAAGCGCATTAAAAAGGCAGGTCAGGTAGTAGACTGAGAAAAAACAACCATGGGAAAACTTCAAATTGACAAAAGATACCAGGCTAAAATACAGGGTCTGGGATATTTAATGAACACAGAAAAGAACAAAACAGATAAACTAGTCACTCAAATTGGACCTAATGCAAACTATCTCACAGTATTTTGTTCTGGCTCTGCCAGAATTTGAGTTTTGGAGGGCAAGAGGGTATAAAAACCTTGCTGCCATGTAATGGAACTCCAAAATGCTCACCCAAATAAGCACCATGTACCTGTACTTCACAGTAGGATTTGGGGGATTTCTAACACTAAGAGACAAGCCACTCGGTTCATCGTACTTTAAACTGTGGTAAGCACAGCTGTAAGTGTGCCATGAATGAAAATATTTGCCTTGCCAACTAACAGTACAGCAAGTTAAGTATCAGAATGATTTATGCATATCCACCCTCTACTAGCAAAACAAGAAAAACACAGTGCCATGAAGCAAGTGCTTTATCTCTACTTAAAAACAAAACAAACAAACAAACGAATGAAAAAACAATTGCCAGAATATTTAAAAATCAGAAAACATGTGTCAGGATCGCTACATATTTAAATATGATTATAAACATGACTAGAAGAATCCTGCCAAGATTATTAGAACGTTGGAGCGCATGCCCTTTGAAAACAGGCTCATTGAACTAGACTTAATTAGCTTGAGAGGAAAAAAAACCAACAACAACAACAACAAAAAACTTAGAAGGGATCCAAGAGCAGCTTTCCTGTACCTACAAGGAGGTCTCAAGAAGATGGAATGAGACTGTTCAGTGGTGCATGGTGGGAGGACGAGAGACATCAGGTATAAGTTGAAACAGGAGAGTTTCCAACTGGCTACAAGGAAAAGCTTTTTCACTGTGAAGACAGTCATGCAGTGAATCAGGTTGCCTGGACAGGCTGGGCACACACCATCCTTTGAGGTCTTCATGACCAGAAGTTCCCTTCCAACTTCATTTACGCCATGTGCCTAAGACACTCAACAGAAAATATTTTGCAGGAGGGCTGATGTAATTCAGAGACTAAACACCACACATAGCACTGTCCTCCCTTGCTCCTTGGGGCCTCAGACTTAGAAAGTTGCAATTACTTCTTTGGATAAAAAAGGAACCAAGAGATGAAGTAGGACAACAGCACAGTAACACAATGTAGAAAGTTACCTTCAAGTTTCTTCACTTTGGTTTCCAGTTTCTTTCTCCTGTTAAAAAGAAGGCATTAATATATCATTTCTGTATAGAATTATGTTGCATGAAAAGCCAGGGGAAAAAAAATCTAGCCATTTCAGAGAAAACACACTTCCTAGACCAGGACCTGTAAGACCAATGCATCCCTGAAGTTGAAAATTTAAATCAGTGGCATGTTGCTGACATTCTCACACAAACAGCTGTATCTGTTACAGAGGTAGAGTTTGCTCTTAAGACAGTCAGTCCATTAATCCAGGTACAAAAATCAGCTACAGCTTGGAGTTACAAACACAACCTGAAAGCTGGCTTCTGGCTTTTGCATTTCTATGATGTAATGCTAAAGTAATAGACCGATGCTCTTGGGCATTCTCAGACTGAACAGGTTCACACTTAATTCTCTCTATACTCAGATGATGGCTTTGACAGTCAAGCCATAGGTGAGAATTTCAGAAAAAAAGTCCTCATAAAACATCTTTGCAGAAAAAAAAGAGAAAGAAAGAAAAGGGGTGGGGGGGGGGTTGTCCTTTAAAAAATAGCAGGTAACGAACTTCTGTTTCTCTGTAGATTGTCTTCTGACCAATGCACAGAAGTACTGCAGCTACAATGTATGGACATTGGAAGCAAGGACAGGCGACATGGGAGAACTACAGAGTTACCGTTCACCATTATAGGGAGAAAATTTGTGCAGCCAAAGCTCGACTGGAGTTCAAGCTGGCCAGTACTCTGAAGGACAACAAAAAGGGCTTTTTAAAATACATTAACAGCAAAAGGAGGATCAAAGATAACATTGGTCCATTACTTAATGAGGTTGGTCACCTAACAAACATGGATGTAGACAAAGCAGAGACATTTAATGCCGCCTTCACCTCTGTTAAAACACCGATGATGGGCCCTGGGACCCCCCTGGAGCTATGTGTTGGAAGACCATGACTGGGGGGATGATGAACTCCCAGCCAACTCTGAACTTGTTAAAGACTTGCTGCTCCAGTTGGATATATGTAAGTCTATAGGGCCTGATGGGATTCATCCCAGGTTACTAAAAGAGCTGGCTGACGTTATTCACAGGACCCTCTCTCCATTATTTTTCAAAGGGCCTGGGAGGCTGGAGAGGTCCCAGTTGACTGGAAACTGGCAAATGTCTGAATTTTCAAGAACAGTAAGAATTACCCTGGTAATTACAGGCCTGTCAGTCTCAAGCCAGTGCCAGGTAAAATTATGGAGAAGGTTATTCAGGGAGTTATTGAAAAACACTTGAGAGACAACATAGTCATTGGTCATAGCCAGCATGGGTTCACGAGGGAAAAGCCTGTATAACTAACCTAATTTCCTTTTATGACAAGGTCACCCACCTAGTTGACTAAGAAAAGCCAGGAGATGTGGGGTTTTTTTTAGATTTCAGCAAAGCTTTTGTTACTGTCTCTCACAGTATCCTTCTGGACAAAATGTCCAGCACACAGCTAGACAAGTCCATAATACACTAGGTAAGCAAGTGGCTGAGGGGTCAGGCTCAAAGAGTTATAGTAAATGGGGTTACATTAGGCTGGCAGCCAGGCACCGGTGGAGTTCCCCAGGGCTCAATTTTAGGGCTAGTGCTCTTTAATGTTTTTATAAAATGACCTGGATGCAAGAGTCAAATGTGTACATTAAGTAAGTTTGACGACGATACGAAATTAGGAGGTGCTGTAGACTCCCTTGAGAGTAGGGAGGCCTTACAGAGAGACCTTGGATAGACTAGAGAGCCGCACAATCACCAACCATATGAAATTTAACAAGAGGAAGTGCTGGATTCTCCATTTGGCACGGTCTAATCCTCATTGTATGTCCAAGTTGGGGGACAAGAGGCAGGAGAGCAGCCCTGTGGAAAGAGATCTAGGGGTCTGGGTTGATGGCAAGTTGAGTATTAGTCAACAGTGTTACCTGGCAGCCAAAAGGGCCAACCGTGTCCTGGGGTGCACCAAGCACAGCATGGCTAGCTAGTCAATGGGGGTGGTGTCCCACTCTGCACTGCACTGGCATGGCCCCACCTCAAGTACTGTGTGCACTTCTGGGCACCTCAATGTAAGAAGGACATCAAACTAATAGAGTGTGTCTAGAGGAGGGCGACCAAGACAATGAAAGGGTTTGAGGGCAAGACCTACGAGGAGCAGCTGAGGTCCCTTGGTTTGTTCAGCTTAGAGAAGGCTGAGGGGTGACCTCATCATAGTCTACAACTTCCTCAAGAGAGGCAGCAGACGGGGAGGTGCTCATCTCCTCTCTCTGGTGACCAGTGATAGGACACGAGAAAATGGAATGAAGCTGCAGCAGGGGAAGTTCAGATTGGACAGAAAGGTTCTTCACTGAGAGTGTGGCCAGTCCCTGGAACAGGTTCCCCAGGGATGTGGGGCTCCAAATTGGTCAGAGTTCAAGGAGCATCTGAACAATGCCCTTAGTCATATGGTTTAGTTTTATGTAGTCCTGTGACAAGCTGGGAATTGGACTCAATGATCCTTACAGGTCCCTTTCAACTCAAGACAGGAATTCTATGATACAAACAACTGATCTGAATAACCAGACAGCCATTAAATGCCAACATTTATCATTGCAGTGATACTTACAGATGAAATAGTTACTTTTACAGGTGTAGTAGTAAGCCGACTAGTTTCATCAACACATGCAATTACAGTAACAAAGAAAATAGGTAGATGTTAAATCTAGTAATTCACAAAACGCGAAGCTTATAGATGATGCATTTGGACAGAATTCCTCTTACGCTACACAACTCAAGCACCCATCCGATCTGCAAGATGCATGCACAAATCCAATCTTTAAGATGCTAACAGAAGCTACATTGAGAATCAGAATACATACAGTATTATAATCTACCCAAACCACAAAAACCATAACATGGTTATATTTATAATATTCAAAAGTTGAAAAGTATAAATACAAACAACTGTGTCTCATATTTATTTCATCCTTAGAGAGAATGTGATCTTTTAATTTAAATGAACAACATTACTTGTGGAACAGTCCAACATTTTGAGTACTTCTTTCAAAGCTTGTCTGTAGGAATGATTTCATACTTAAAACCTTCTTCACAGTGGAGATGCGTATTTGCCTCAAGTTATCACGCTTGTTATAAGCTCAGAATTGGGGAATTGCCCTCCTTGTAAAGATTCAAAATGAAACTAGACAAGGTCCTGAGCAACATAACTTCGAGGCTGGCTCTGAATGGCACATGGGACCAAACAAGTTGAGATCTAAATTATTTTACAGTAACTGTGGATTAACATTCATTTTATGAACAATTCACTAGAATTCTGCTTTTGAAGAAACTCAACTCTCAAATTACTGAACTCATGTGACCTATTGCTTAAAACGGCCTCAACATCAAAGGTATCTAAAATAGCTATAGCACCACAGAATGGCTGAGGTTGAAAGGGACCACTGGAAGCCATCTTGTCCAACCCACCCTGCTCAAGCAGGGCTATCTAGAGCCAGTTGCCCAGGACCATGTCCAGATGGCTGTTGAATGGAGAGGCCATGACCTCCCAGGGCAACCAGTGCCAGTGCTGTCATCCTCACAGTAAGAAAGTGCTTCCTGATGTTCAGGGAACCTCCAGTGTTTCAGTTTGTGCCCACTGGCTCTTGTCTTGTCACTGGGCACCATAGAAAAGAGCCTGACTCTGTCTTCTTTACACCCTCCCTTCAGGTATTTATAGACATTGGTAATATCACCCCTGAGCCTTCTCTTCTGCAGGCTGAACAGTCCCAACTCTCTCAGCCTTCCCTCAATGCAGAGATGCTCCAGTCCCTTAATCATCTTTGTGGTCCTTCACTGCTCCTCCAGTATGTCCAGTTCTGGGCTCCCCAGTACACAGTACTCCAGGGGTGGCCTCACCAGTGCTGAGCAGAGGGGAAGGAGCACCTCCCTCAGCCCACCAGCAGTACTTTGCCTAATGCAGACTAGGATGCCGGTACCCTTCTTTGCCGCATGGGCACGTCACTGGCACATGTCCAACTTGGTGTCCACCAGGACCCCCAGGTCCTTTCCTGCCAAGCTGCTTTCCAGCTGGGTGGCCCCCAGCATATACACTGGTGTGTGGGGTTGTTCCTCACCAGGTGCAGGACTTTGCACTTCTCTGTGCTGAACTTCCCAAGGTTTCTGTCAGCCCATTTCTCCAGCCTGTCAAGCTTGCGCTGGGTGGCAGCACGCCCCTCTGCTCTATCAGGCACTCCTCCCAAGTTTGTGTCACTGGCAAACTCACTGAGGGTACGCTCTGTCCCATGATCCAAATCACTAATGAAGAACATGAAATGAACATCATGGAGATGTTCAACAAGACTGGACCCAGTATGCAGTCCCCCTCCCCCCAGGGTACACTGCTAGTTACTGGCCTCCAACTAGGCTTTGCACCGCTCATCTCTACCCTCAGGGCCCAGCCATTCGGCCAGTTTTCAATCCACCTCACTGCCTGCTCATCCAGCCCCTACAGGAACAGCTTGAGGGGCTGTGAGGTTCTGATGGGAGACAGTGTCAGAGACCTTACTGAAGGCCTGGCAGACACTAGCCACTGCTCTCCACCTCATCTATCAGGCACGTCAGTTCATCGTAGAAGTTTATCAAGTTGGTGAAGCCATGCTGATGACTCCCGAGGAGTTTCTTGTCATTCAGTGCCTGGAAATGGTTTCCAGGATGAGCTGCTCCATCGTCTTCCCAGGGATCAAGGTGAGGCTGACCGGCCTGTAGTTCCCTGACTCCTCCTTTTTGAAGACATGAATAACAGATAGGAGAGAGGCAATATATCTACGGTGACACAGTATACTGCCAGTACATTAGGGTGGTCAGTTCCCTCCTAAGATGCAGTTAGCAATGGGATAGCTGCTCTCTGCTGCTCTTAGATAGGACGATGTGCTAAAGATTCCTTTAAGCTCACAAGACACAGAGTACCTATACGTGAAATAAGTGCAGTCTGGTGGAAGAAATGGCAACAGCAAGTGACAACAATGCTAGTTTGCTTGTACAATCTTTTGGATGATAGCGGCTTGTTGTTGTGCTTGTCACTACCATATGTTTCGCAAGCCATGTAAAGATGCTAGGGTATCTCATCCGAGAGATGTTTCAGTCCCTTGATCATCTCCGTGGCCCTTTGCTGGACTCTCTCCAGTATGCCCATATCTCTCTTGCACAGAGGAGCCCAGAACTGGACACAGTACTCCAGGTATGGCCTCACTAGTGCTAAGTAGAGGAGAATGATCACCTCCCTCAACCTGCTGGTAATACCAAAATAGCTTAGGAACACCAAAGTTAAAAATTACAGCCAGTTTACAAGGAAGGAAGGAAGGAGTCACCAGTGGGAGTCCCACTGGGATATGTGCTGGAACACATCAGACATAAAAGCTGACTACAAGAAACAGCCGAAGGGTCTTAGAATTCCAAGTGACTAGACAGCAGTCATTGGTGTTGATAAATGCAAAGTGATGCACACAGAGAAAAGTAACCACAACTACAAACTCACAACACCCAGCTGTATATTAGCTGGTTATCTTTTGAGAGCAGAAGTACCTTTCCATATAATACTGAGAATTAACAGTATCAGTATTATAATCAGTATCAGTTCCCTGATACAGGTGATTTAGAGGCTAGGAATGTAACAGGGTTAAAAAGCCTCTCTTCATCAGAGAGTCCATCAAGAGCTGTAAAAGATGGTAACACACATATATATATATGCTCCAGGCAAGGAAGTCTTTGAGTGACTGGTTACTGGGAGAACAAACTTTGGGAATTATCAAGGCACAGCTTCACAATATTCTGTACTATGGCAGCAAAAACGGCTTCTGCATTTTTGGTGCCAAATCCCTCCTGCCCATTTCCAAATATGGTGGACAGTTCAGGGCCTGCTGAGCTGTTGCTTTAAAAACAATTATTTTAAGGACTGATTTTAAGTGCAGATCACTTTGACAATATCATTTATATATTTGCTTCAGAGACTTATCAGCACAACAGAAACGGATGGTCATAACAAAAAGCCAAGACTAAGAACTACTTAAAACTGGAGAAACTATATCTTCTTCTCCAATCTCATGCTGTTCTTAAAAACCTTCACTAAACAACCACCAAAAGCCACTTCAAGACAAGATTATAATTAAACTAATACTACCTTCCAGAGTGTTTGCTACAAAATTTAAGACCATTCTTCCATCAACTCCCTGTTCTAAGAACCCATAAGCATAAAAATTTTAGCAAAATGGAAAGCATAACTAGGTAAGGTGCAAGACCAAGTTCTGGAAGAGGTAAGAGGGAGAAAGAAAGGTTGTGAAAAAAAGCAGCAGCACTCACACAGCATCACCGTTTACTATTTCTTCTTTAATTTTATCATATTCCAGTTGACTCTCCCGATAGATCTTGAGAGAACTCTGTGGAGAAGGAAAGCACAGTTAAAATATGTCCTTCTTGGGCGGGGGGGGGAGGGGGCGGGGTGGTGAAAGATGGCAGACACTTTACCTATTCTAATGAAAACAGTGCGTAGCCAAAAAAGTATATTCAATGAGAAAACAAGCAAGTTGAAAAGTCAGGTTATTATTGTTCTTTTAAAAGCAAAAGTTATAACAAACAAACAAATAAATCTATACCTATCTATCTTTTGAGTATGTGCCTCCAGCACCTATCTGGATAGGAACTCAAAGCTGAAGTCAAGAGCACAACTGTTTTACACCATACGCATAATCTTGCTTTTTCTGAAAAAGTGCCATCAGGACATAAGCTACTAATGCTTGCTGAGGGAAGATGATTTAAAAAACAGGTCTAACAGAAGAAAAACTGCGTACAAACAAATGTTAATATCCTACCTTGTACGAGCATGAAAAAAAGTACAAGAAAGAGGGTGGGGTATTTTTTGCATAAGTAATGGTTAATGTCTAGAAAATACATATATTTAGGCAATTTGAACAGTCAAAAGCTTCTCTTCTGTAGACTAGATCTCAGATAAGGGATGGAAGAGAAATTAGGAATAAACTTAAGTAGCTAATAATGTAAAAGCATATGTTCAAAATGGTAACAGAAACAAAATCCTATTCTGCACAGACCCTCTTTGCACCCTTTCAGTAGTACAAGTTATAGAGAGTCCAGTAATCTAATAAGATCAGAACAGAAAAACAAAGGAATTTGAATCTATCTCCTTCCTAAGGAAATAAAACCCAAATAATCTGATCAAAAATCATAGGAACTACAAAAGCCTGAACTTTCTGCCTATCTGAAACCTGCTGCCATTTAATTAATTTCACCTAAAACCTGTCCCAGTGAGCTGGAAATAACAACTAGGTTCATTAAAGCCTGCTTCATTAAGATGAGCATTAATCAGATACATTTCCTTCAACAGAAAAAGTGCATGTTATTTAAACCTTAGAAGCACACCTTTTTCTCTTCCAACTCTGCTTTCAAGGAACCCAACTCTTCCTGGCACTTTTCCAGAGGCAGGATTTTCTGTAGCATCTGCTCCACTTGGCAACGAAGAGCAGAGATCTCTCTGAAATGGGAAGCGCAATTAAAAAAAAAAGTTGCCGAAAACCATGGGTGCTTTCAAACTCAATGTTCTCATTCTTCAGGCAAGTGCCCAAGTATTTTGCTTTCCCCTATTGAAAAATGCTGTAAGAGATAGCCACGGGCTTTTAAGAGACTAAGTATTCTCATTTTTCCATCCAACATTTTACATTCAAAAAAAATTCAAGATCTGATTTAAAAACATTAAACTGAGCCTAAAGATAGATGCAAGCAGATGGCATGTGCCACACAGGAGTACTGCCCAGCTGCCTACACTGAAGTGCCAGGAGTAAGTGTCTCACATAGGCAGTGCTGTGAAATAAGAGTAAAGTCCCACTGTGGGATTTTTCAGCAGGCAGGATGGAGTCCATAAAGATTATATGCTGCCTCTCAAGTAGAGTAAGCAAGGGCACACAGCTACAACTCTAAGACAAAATGCTTCATACAATTAGGGCTGCTCCAAATACGCTCAAACTTAACCACCACCAAAAGATGAGCTCTGCACCTCTACTTCGTCACTTTAGACTCTTATGTAACACAGGGCCAGGAAAGAATTTCACACAGGTATTGTAGAAGGAGGACAGATTTCTCTCCTCATCAAGGGTATATCTGCTAACTATGGCCTAAGAAGCATAGTAAAAGAAAGGACCATATTAAAAGCTCAGCCTAGACCCAGGGCTGTTGCTGTTACGACGTCACACTCCTAAAACTGTCCATGACAGAGAACACAGCATCTTTAGTAAACAGTTTAAATCAAACTTACCGTTCGGCAAATTGAAGCTGTAATCTCTTGTTAAGGTAGAAATTCAAAACAGTTTATCAAATGAACTTAAGTAGATTTCAATCCAACTGCCACTTGCAAAGAAACATCCAATAAAAACTTCCACCCAAAAAACATAGGGCTTGCAGAACTAAGTGTTTAATTGAAACATTTCAACATGTTTGAAGTGAATAAGTAGAGCTGCTTCTGTTACATGAAAAAACTTGAGTCATTCTCAGCAACGCAGATTTCTAATAGTCCATATTAAGCCATATATTAGACACAGGCAGACCTTAAGTGGATAGTTTTAATTCCAAAGACCTATTTTCTTTACAAAGTCTATCCAATATGTTCTTTACTAGAGGCATCATCTCTTAACTTAAACCTTAAATAAAAAGCCTCAAGCCCTCTTATAAGAAATGTTGATATACTAATTCTGTAAGAACACTAATAGAAAAATAAAGGATATCAGTGCATTTCTGTTGATATTCTGTCAGCAAACGACTGCAAGAAAAAAAGAAAAAAGACATTACTCATTTTCTCACCCGATTTTGACAATCATGCCTTAGGATAGCTTTCCTTTTGCTTTATAGATAAATAAAGTGTAAGATTGGTTTGCATTTTCTGATAGTAGTCAATATAACTCTTTTGTTTCATTAAGCCATTCAAACCTCAAATCAGCGAAATTGCAAAAAAAAAAAAAACCCAAAAAAACAACGGACTGGCAATTACATGAATTTGTAGCCATTAACTATTTGCAGCTTAAAAAACCCCCAACAACCAAACAAAAAAACACCAAAAACATTATTTAGGTAATGAACGTAATATACATATAATCAAAAAATATACATATGATCACAAAATCATATCCTAGTTCCCAAACTTAAAAGGATGTTTTCCTAGGAAAGAACACATAAATATAAGAAAAATAGTTCAAAGGACCCTAAAAGGCTTTAATCCTTACACTATTCTCCTAGCAGCCATAAGAGGGTAACACTTACTCTGATCCAAGGTGTACAGTGGGCCGCGGGACAGTACCAAGGAAAGGTATTCTCTCCTTTCCTCAAATGTTATGGGTTTTAAGAATGGAGAGAAGAAAGGACAAGAAAGAGAAATACCATGGCAGTTCATCCAATACAGAGAAAGCTGCATTACTTTCTCTTGTAACAGTCAAGAGTAATCAAGTAAGGCAAAAAAGAAAGGGGCTGAGATGCAAGTAGTTAAAGGAGCAGTAATTCCCGCAAGAAATGCACACACTAGCAGAGAGAAGAGGGACACAAAGTTTGGAGGTAGGAAAAGGAATCTATGGAGACAGAAGAAAGGAGCTTTGAAGAAAAGGGTCCCAGTTAAGACAGTAAGGGCTCTCGAATACTTTTTGGAATCCAGAATGCAGGACCGGAATTTAGATTCGCTAAAGCACAATTGACACATATCTAGGAAAGGGTACATGAGAGAAAAAAATTACAATTAGGAGACATAGCAAGGATATTAAGCCATAGTATCAAGGTATACATAACACATCTTGATACATTATTCCATACAATCATATGTTGATGATTATTGAGAAGAAGTGGAAGCAATCACAGAAGAGAAAGCAAACTATGAGAAGCGTTTTAGAACCTTACTGTTCTGACTGATGTTCAACCTCACTTTTCATATTCTGATACTTAATCCAAACAGCATTTCACACCTTAATGCTTAGACTAAATTCTGTTGAAAATGTTCGTATACACCTGCGCTCAACTTTTAGTTCTCATACTATATTCTTCACGGCAGATAAAGTGAAATAAATCTCTTCAAAGAGCTGCTTCTGCTAGTACTCGTAATAATATATAAGCTATTACAGCTACACAAAACAGTCCTGCTTTACTACCATTACACACAGATGTTTTAGGGCATAAATAAAAGAAGTCTTACAGTCTAGATTTAGGACCTGCTCCTGAAGAAGTTACTTTCATTTTGAGGAGGATTTAGTTTTGTGCATTAACAAATACCTACATTCCACAACACGTATTTGCTTTAAGAACTTAAGAGCAATAAAAACCAAATCAAAACAAAAAAAAACCAGAAACAAACCAAACACTTGTGCAATTGTACTTACTCTCCATCAATCATTTTTTGCTTCAGTGCAATTAATGCGGCTACATATTCATTTATATTCTGTAAGGAAGAGTCTCAAGTTGGTAAAGAAGTTTCACCCCAAAACCCAATACTATACATTGTAAATAACCCCTGAACTGATTGCTAATGTTCCACACAATACAAGAATTTGTCTTCTTTTTTTCAGTTCTCTTAGTGAACAAGTTACTAATTCACCATACAAATACATACAGGGAATGCAGGCTCCAAAAGAAAGTACGCATACTTAAGATGAGGCTTTAGTAAAAAAGCTCTTCAAACTTTGCCTTTACAGTAGATTATATACGAAAATCCCCATAACTTTTTATTTTAAAATCAAATTAAGCTTTGGCAGAATATTACCAATAAACGGCATCTAGCTCATTTGAGCCTACAGATTTCCCTGATTCTCAACCTATACTCATTCTAAGTGTGTCCGAAGACCTCCTCCGCCCTCTGAACTCTCAGCAGGGCCTTCCCCACATTTAAAGGGGAAACAAACACTACCCAAAGCGTTACACTATAAGACTACATTCTCGCTTAAGAGCGCTGAAGAAAGGAGGTGAACGATGACACTCCTTCCACGGCACGGAAACAAACTCGAAAGGATACGCCTAGGAACTCACTAGCAGATCCCGCTAGGCACGCCGCAGATACACGAGTTACTATTCCGCATTTCCCCCGGCTAAAGCTCGCCACTGCTGCTCCTTTTACGGAGCCCG